AAATGCCCAAGTCACGAAAGTAACTACATTTGAGCCAACGTTTTCTGCATCTTGCCATCCCCCAGCTCGCAGAGAATCTTGCGAAAGCCTGCCACGAAATCGATACTTGACCTTGCGAAAGTGCTGCGCCTGCCACGAAATCTATACTTGACCTTGCGAAAGTGCTGCGCCTGCCACGCAATTCAAACCTTGCGAAACCTTCGCGCGGCCGTGCCAATGGGCCCGTCTCCGAACCCGTTCCGAGACCGTTTCCACCGTTCCGAGACCGTTCCGAGACCGTTCCGAGACCGCCGCCGTACAGGCGTCGCAGCCGAGGTGGTTTGCGCACAGTCCGGAAGCCCAATTCACGCACAGCGCCAACGTTTTCTGCATCTTGCCATCCCCCAGCTCGCAGAGAGTGGACGCAGCACCTTGCGAAAGTGCTGCGCCTGCCACGAAATCGATACTTGACCTTGCGAAAGTGCTGCGCCTGCCACGAAATCTATACTTGACCTTGCGAAAGTGCTGCGCCTGCCACGCAATTCAAACCTTGCGAAACCTTCGCGCGGCCGTGCCAATGGGCCCGTCTCCGAGACCGTTCCGAGACCTCCGAGACCGTTCCGAGACCGTTCCGAGACCGCCTCCGTACAGGCGTCGCAGCCGAGGTGGTTTGCGCACAGTCCGGAAGCCCAATTCACGCACAGCGCCAACGTTTTCTGCATCTTGCCATCCCCCAGCTCGCAGAGAGTGGACGCAGCACCTTGCGAAAGTGCTGCGCCTGCCACGAAATCGATACTTGACCTTGCGAAAGTGCTGCGCCTGCCACGAAATCTATACTTGACCTAGTGCTGCGAAAGTGCTGCGCCTGCCACGAAATCTATACTTGACCTTGCGAAAGTGCTGCGCCTGCCACGCAATTCAAACCTTGCGAAACCTTCGCGCGGCCGTGCCAATGGGCCCGTCTCCGAGACCGTTCCGAACCCGTTCCGAACCCGTTCCGAGACCGTTCGAGACCGCCTCCGTACAGGCGTCGCAGCCGAGGTGGTTTGCGCACAGTCCGGAAGCCCAATTCACGCAAAGCGCCAACGTTTTCTGCATCTTGCCATCCCCCAGCTCGCAGAGAGTGGACGCAGCACCTTGCGAAAGTGCTGCGCCTGCCACGAAATCGATACTTGACCTTGCGAAAGTGCTGCGCCTGCCACGAAATCTATACTTGACCCTGCTGCGAAAGTGCTGCGCCTGTCACGAAATCTACACTTGACCTTGCGAAAGTGCTGCGCCTGCCACGCAATTCAAACCTTGCGAAACCTTCGCGCGGCCGTGCCAATGGTCCCGTCTCCGAGACCGTTCCGAGAACCCGTTCCGAGACCGCCTCCGTACAGGCGTCGCAGCCGAGGTGGTTTGCGCACAGTCCGGAAGCCCAATTCACGCACAGCGCCAACGTTTTCTGCATCTTGCCATCCCCCAGCTCGCAGAGAGTGGACGCAGCACCTTGCGAAAGTGCTGCGCCTGCCACGAAATCGATACTTGACCTTGCGAAAGTGCTGCGCCTGCCACGAAATCTATACTTGACCTTGCGAAAGTGCTGCGCCTGCCACGCAATTCAAACCTTGCGAAACCTTCGCGCGGCCGTGCCAATGGGCCCGTCTCCGAGACCGTTCCGAACCCGTTCCGAGACCGTTCCGAGACCGTTCCGAGACCGCCTCCGTACAGGCGTCGCAGCCGAGGTGGTTTGCGCACAGTCCGGAAGCCCAATTCACGCACAGCGCCAACGTTTTCTGCATCTTGCCATCCCCCAGCTCGCAGAGAGTGGACGCAGCACCTTGCGAAAGTGCTGCGCCTGCCACGAAATCGAAATCTATACTTGACCTTGCGAAAGTGCTGCGCCTGCCACGAAATCTATACTTGACCTTGCGAAAGTGCTGCGCCTGCCACGCAATTCAAACCTTGCGAAACCTTCGCGCGGCCGTGCCAATGGGCCCGCCGTTCCGAACCCGTTCCGAGACCGTTCCGAGACCGTTCCGAGACCGCCTCCGTACAGGCGTCGCAGCCGAGGTGGTTTGCGCACAGTCCGGAAGCCCAATTCACGCACAGCGCCAACGTTTTCTGCATCTTGCCATCCCCCAGCTCGCAGAGAGTGGACGCAGCACCTTGCGAAAGTGCTGCGCCTGCCACGAAATCGATACTTGACCTTGCGAAAGTGCTGCGCCTGCCACGAAATCTATACTTGACCTTGCGAAAGTGCTGCGCCTGCCACGAAATCTATACTTGACCTTGCGAAAGTGCTGCGCCTGCCACGCAATTCAAACCTTGCGAAACCTTCGCGCGGCCGTGCCAATGGGCCCGTCTCCGAGACCGTTCCGAACCCGTTCCGAACCCGTTCCGAGACCGTTCCGAGACCGCCTCCGTACAGGCGTCGCAGCCGAGGTGGTTTGCGCACAGTCCGGAAGCCCAATTCACGCACAGCGCCAACGTTTTCTGCATCTTGCCATCCCCCAGCTCGCAGAGAGTGCTTGCGAAAGTGCTGCGCCTGCCACGAAATCTATACTTGAGAAAGCTATCTACGTGTTAAGCTGGCTATATGTCAAAGCTATCTATCTGTCATGCAAGCCTATTGGAAAGCTATCTATCTGTCAAGCTAGCTATATGTCAAAGCTATCTATCTGTCATGCAAGCCTATTGGAAAGCTATCTATCTGTCAAGCTAGCTATATGTCAAAGCTATCTATTTGTCATGCAAGCCTATTGGAAAGCTATCTATCTGTCAAGCTAGCTATATGTCAAAGCTATCTATTTGTCATGCTAGCTACCTGTCATAGCTATATGTCAAAGCAGCTAGCTCATTTAGTTCCAGTACTACGGAAGTTTCTTGTTAAACTTCCTTTGATTAATCATCCAGGGCTTTATTAATCCGGGGCCAACATTAAAAGGTTGTATTGTGTCGTTTTGGCAAGTCCACCCCAGGGACAGAAAAGGATAGACAGGAAAGGGATTTCTTTCGTTGGGACTCTTTTTGTGATTTGGGAAAAGAAGGGGGGTCCAAAATTGGGACGGTGCCCCGAGAAAAAACACATGTTGAGGGGTTCTCAAAAATAAACCACATGGTAAATTTTACTAGTTTTGAGGATATCACTTTGATGGCTTCAGATGGTCAACCTGGATGCTCAAGCTACTTGGTGACCCATGCCAAGGCTTGCAAAGGACATTCCCAGCCAGAAAAGTTGGTGCGGATATCCAAGCCCTTGACTTTCAGGGGTTTGGACCTCTTTGGAAGGTTTTGATTGTGAGTCACTGGCCAACCCGCGTAAAGTGGGGTTCCTTTACTCGGCGACAGGGATGAAAAATCCAGGGAGGGATCCCTAATAAACATTGGTTCCTACTGTGGATGGCCGAAATCCTGCACCACTTTGAAACCATGGGAAACCATTGTTCGTTGGTGTTTACAGGGGAATAATCATTCTAGGGTTACTGAGGCGATGCAGGATTTCGTCCACCCACAGTATAAAGGGAACCATGACCCAATCGGCCAAAGAAAATTATCTTTGACCCATGATTTTGGGTGGAGGTACTTCGCATGGTCAGACTCCCAGTGTTGAATTGAGCAGATCCGACCCCCTCTGTCATCAAGTACTACCTTACCTGACTTTCTGGCCGCCCCACCTCTCATGTGGTGCCCATTGGCCTGCACTCCACCCTCGGATGAGTGCAGACAAGTTTCGGTTTGGGGTGTCACTTACAACGCCGCCCTTTTTGACTGGTGCAAGCAGCTGCAATGGACTCATGATGGATGTCCCTAATCAACCCCCTGTGTCTTGGGCTGAGTTGTTCCTCTCTTTTCGGCCTTCTTCTGGTATGGCGATCCCTAAGCCATGCTCGGTGGTATCAGGCATGTTCGCCTCCGAAGGCATCCATTACATGCCCTCTTTGGAACATCGATCTTTTGGTGAGGAGGTTCGTAGTTTTTCCTTTTCACTTTGGACCCTTGCTGCCATTTCGCAAACTGATTTGAAGTGGGATAAAGCCAGCCAATTTAAACTTGGGAAATTCGGCCGCGGTCTGGCTGTCCGAGGCTTCTCTCGCTACCCTTGGTACCCATTCGATTCCCGGGAGTTTGCCCTCTTCACTTCTTATCTTGCATGTGCTGACGCTGACATTAGCCTAAATAAACAACTTCCCGTCCAACTCGTCCTTCTTCCCTGCAAGCTACGCTCGCTTGCGTTAGCGTTCTTTCGCTGTTACATGTTCGTGTCGTGTCACTGGCATGTCTACAGACCATATCCATGCCGGAGCAACAAGTTACCTTTTTGCAGGAGCTGGTTATTTCACCATGGACATAAGGGTGCGTACCCCAGGTATAAAGACGGTTACAGACTCAATGAGTCGAGTATCCGAGGAAGTCGGGGGGTCATTGACGGAGTAAACTGTGGTGAGTGGGTTGCCCGACGTGACACATGGGTCCTTGGGGTTTAAGGTGGCAGACATCAGCGAAGTTAATGTTAACCACGGATTTATAAACTAACCTTTGGTTGATTAATAGGGGAGTTTCCCCTTTTGGCAGGGGGTGTATCACTTTTGGAGGGAACGCCATCCGGGGTCAACACTAGTCATTTGTCCTTAACCCTAGTTGGAGCGTTGCTCACATTGGCTAGACTCGTTTTGCAAGTCTTGATTGGGCTTGCCAAATGTCCAATGTCTCGGAGGCCTCTCGGAGGCCAAATTTGTGTGCGCCTCGCGGTTTCCTGAGCCTCAGCACCCCTTTGAAAGGTTGGTTGGGGAAACCGAAAGAAAAGCTAAGTTTTTTTGGGGCCCCCTATTTTGATACAAACCGAGCCCCAATATTTCCCACATCTACCCAACTATTTCCCGCATGCAGTACGCAGTTGTTCAAGGGGCACCCTTGGTCCCTGTTGTCTGGCGTGTTTTGGGCCAAAAAGGTAACCCTCCCCAACATTGAAGATGGTTCTCTTGCTCTTTGGGTCAGTTGCAACATGAAGTACGGGCCCTGCGCGACTTTCCCCTGAGGCCCTGGTTGCCACTTACTCCCTCATGGGACTCCTCATTGCGCAGGCGCGGCAGTGTTCGTGCCTGGGGCGCTTGTGACAGGATCAATGGCTGGTCAGAGGCGTGGAGGTACCAATAACCAGTTGTGAAAGGCAGTGTGGGTGTTGTTGTTTTCTTGGAGGGCACGCTTTTTGGGGAAATTATAAAAGGAAACCCAAAGGACAACCACGAGTTTGGGGGTCCTCAATCTTTAACACATATATACATGTATCTGTATTATATATGAACTATATATATATATATTCGTATGTAGGATTCATTTGGGTGTGGTCGATCTCACGACTGGCTCCAAAGCCAAATGACTGAGGAAACTCTGGCTTTGGCTTAGCCAGAATTTTTGGGGTCATGACAGGGTTCTTGAAGGTAAACGGGAAATCACCCCGGAACAGCCGGCTGTTTCTTCTCAAAATAGGGAGGCAGCCAAAGTGGACGGTTTCCCTTCGGTTTCCTTTTACATATCCCAAGCCGGGTGCCGTCAAAAAAGGACACACCTAAACACCCTTGATTCACAGCTCGCGGCGCAGGTCATGAAGTTCTTTGACAGCATCGTGAAGCTGTTCATCTCCGGGCACGCAAATGGGTCGACTCGATATGACTCGTGTTGTTAGAGGCGGATCGCATTTGAAATCCGGGAACCCTGAGCCCACAAAGCGCCTCATTCAACGCACATCTCCCCAGTAAAGCAGGGGTCGTTGGTTGGCTACGCTCCCAATAAACGCCAACAGACGTGTAGACAACTTTACTTTTGGGTCCCGAAGCCCCATTCCGTTGGGACAGCGGCCTTCTCATGTTGGGAGGCGAACCGGTGGAAAGTAATCCACACCTGTTGCAAGTCCCAAAGGGGTTACAGCCAAAATTGCTAACCGAAGTATCCGATTGCCTTCTCAGCCAACACGGCCCCAGGATGCAGGTTCTTGGAAAGCGCTTTACCCGTTGCTTTGTAGATCCTTAGTTGGTTTGCCTTTGGCTGAGCCCAGGGATGGTCAACATGTGTTTCAACAACCAGACCTTTGCCCCCTCCTAAAGCCCCAAAAAGGGTATCCTAAGAACTACACATGCAAATGTTTGTACATGGGATCGCTGAACCCACACTAAGGTCCTCTTCAGGGATTCCGATGCCCATGTTCAGCAATGGCAATGTCGGTAGGACTATAGCAAAAGGATGCCTTCCAAAGAAAAACTGTTTGCTTCCTGTGCCCAAGGGGATCTTCTTTGAGGCAAAGCCCAAAGGATGATTTTATTCAACCACCCGCCCATGGTCTCGGGAAGACCAGATGAGAAACGCTACTATCTGGCTCAACAAGACTTACAATAAGTCTTATCAACACCTTGATCACCATCTTAGTAAAACCTCAACCCCTGGTTCTACTACCTGGCTTAGCAAGATAGCCATCTTAGTAGAACCCAGCAGTCAATGGGTTTTGGGAGCTCAAATGCGGATGCTTGGCTTAGACACGAGAAAGCACTGGCGATCGCCCAATCCCCGACCGACTGACTTGTCCAGACGGCTCATGTCAAGGCTTTGGGCTCACTTTTGGTGCACACAAATTTGTTTTCTCCGGCCCTTGTTCAGGTGCTCCAACTGATTCCTTTTCGGGCGGACGTTTGAAGTTTGAGAATGTGTCGGATGGGTGCAACACACTGTAGCAACTGGGCTGTTTCTTTTTGGTTTCCCTTTAAACCCACCCCAAAGAGGGCACCTGTCGCATCCAAAACACCCCCCAGCCCATGCTAATAAGCACTGAGACGACATTGGGGCGACTTCTTCTTTGCGATCTTGGCGGCCTGGGATGTGGCTCTAGCGAATCCCCTTTGTTGTAAGCAAACACCGTTCAAACACCTGTTGAATTCCCATGACCAAATTGGGTCCGGGTTGAACATGTTGCAAGCCCCGACAACCTAGGAATGGAAATCCGAAAAAAAGAAGAAAAAAAACTGAATGTGGCAATAAATCGGTCCCAAAGCGTCCCGTGGTTTCAGAGATACAGCTAAGTAAAAGGGCTGCTTATCAGAAAGCTGGCCCCAATCCAGCACCCCTCAAACACTCCCCCCCAACACACATCTTGTTTGGGTCTCTTTGGTCTTCTCCAATAGACCCCGTGTGTTTGAGTGAGTTTGTGGCCTCCCCCAAAGGGGGCGTGAGCCTATCTCAGATGCTCACCCCCAAAACACTCAGGAGTTGAATCGGAGAACCACTACGTATCCGCTTTCCTTTGGTGCATTTTGCTTGGATCTTAGGATCTTCAACTTTTTGCCAACTAATGGGTTTTCCATTAAAGCCACTGCAAGTTAGTCACTTTTAGCAGGGGAGCAGAACGCAACCGAGTGATTTTCGACAGTTATCCCAGTTCTCCAGTGACTCGGGCCTGGAAATCTCGACCTGGAGGTCTTCCATGTACGTCTCCGCGGTGCTGTCCTGGGCCATCTTCGGTTCCTTGGCCGCAACTAAGGTGACTGAAGGTCTCGTGTTTTGGGGGGAGCATCCAACCGAATGGCCATTCGGTGTCATTCGGTTCCTACTTTGTTTTTGGGGCCATAGTAAAACACATATAATGACATTGTATATACATATATGTATACGTATGTCTGGAGATGCATCCAGATAGGTGAGTTGAAGGGCGCCCCAAAACATTGCCACGTGCTGCTCGTCCTGCTTTTACTGATGCTTGATGCTTCACCCACAGGGAGCCAACATGACGAAAACAATGTTCTTTCGTCTTTTGTTTGACCTTCCTTCGTGGTGTGGCCAGGAAATTTAGTGTGTTTAGAGCATCCATTCAAAATCTGGGTTCTCCGCACGTTCGCTCAGTTATACTCAGGGCAAATACGACGGGGAACAACAGCACGCTTTACACACGCCTGCCTGCGAGGTTCCACTTAGATCCGGGGTTATGAAGGAAACCACAAGCATCACATGGGTTTCCCTTTGGTTTCCCTTGAGCAACACCTGAGACAGGGCAATATAGGAGATTACACCATTAACTACTATGACCAGAATTGGTTTCACAGTACTCCCCAAACCCATTCTAATTGTTCTGGCCTCGATATGCTCACTTCTTGAGTTCTTGGACTTGAAACTTTTTGGGAAGACCATTTTCGTGGCAAAGAAACAGTTTGATTACTGTTTAGGCCAATCCCCTCAGGAAGTGAGTATCACTTGAACACCCCACCCCCACCCGTCGTCGCATTTTTCGACCGAGGCTATGCGCCCACCTGGAACTTTCTGGCCGGCATGGCACTGGTCACAGTTGCCATGGCACCAGCCTCAGCGTTTCGACGACCGCTTTGATCCCGCTTAGATGGCTAATTGGCTGTGGGTCAAAATTAAGCAACCAGGGGACCGCAGATGTTAGTTCATGTTTCCATTTACCAGGTTGAATTGTGGGTACCCATTTTTGACCCGCAGCCAAGTGGGTAGCTTTGCCCAAAGCCGTGGTTGTAATTCAACCAACGAACGACGGCCGGCTCTTTAGGCCCCCCCCCCATGCTTCTTAGAGAGTAGACGATATGTTCGATAGCAGGGCACAATGGGCAAAGAACCGCACTGTGATACAACGGAATCTCTTGCTTGTATGGAGGGTTAGTCTTTGGGAAGCCCTTTGCGAAGTATGACAGGAAGTGGTCATGTCCCACAGTCCTGGGCGATAGCAATGGCTATAAGTCAACCACCTGGGATGACGTTTCAGCCCGAAAAGGGCAAGATGCTCACCCGACAAGTGGCACATCTCGAGGTTCCGCTTCAAAAAGGAAGGGCAAAAGGACAAAATGAGTTGCAGCCAGAACTTTTGTTTGCTTCATTTTCCAGTGATAGTTGATGTTTCCCCTGTACAGGGAATGGGACACATGCGTAAATAGGCCAGACTTTTTAGCGGCGCAAGCAAATGGAAGGTACGAACCGTGTCAAGCGGACGAGGTCAGTTCCGAGCCTCGCACAGAGTTGTCAAGTTCAGATGCGTCGTTTCCGTTTAGCCTGCTTGAGGATCTTTCATAGGGAAAGTCATGAGAGCTTTGCAGAGAAGAGCAAGGGAAAGTAGGTGTTATTTTTTGGGCCTCCCCTACCAGAATGGTTCTCAGAACCCCCGTGAAGAGGGTAAGAGGTAAGAACCCTTCTTGGGGAGGGGCAGGTTTTCCCGTAGAAACGGCACCCTTTGCTGACCTAAGGCCATGTTTGCCGCAGCGTCCTTTGAGGGGTAAGGCTGATAGCAGGACGGCGCTTTCCAATGATTGAGTATGAGATCTGTCTGGAAAAATTGCAAGGGTCCCTTAGAGGATACACTAGAAAATCAGTACCAGCTGTTTCGGATCCTTTAAGGAATCCTGACAAATCCCTACAACATGGAGAGACATATCAGTGGCATCCTACAAGAGACATGGGTCCCACCCAACCGGCAGTGGGTTGCCAAAAACCAACTGGCTGTGTCAAAAATAGGGCAACCCCAAAATGGAACCCTGGTAAATAGCCACATGGACTAACACCTACTGTGAAATACTTAAGAGGGGAATACCAAACAGCAGGTAAATACAAGATGTTTTGTTTTCAGTGTGGCTCAGGTTGCTACTTTAGGGGATGGTTTTGATCAGGCCCCAAAACCACCAAGGGAAACAAAGCCCGGCGAGTGACACCCTAAAAAGATCCAACCTGATGGATGCCACCTGAAGCCATGACACAGACTCGATCTTCCTGTTGTTCCTTTTCTCAGTATTTTCGGGCCCCAAGATCAGCCGGGAAAAAAAGGCCTAGTCTTGGGATTGGTCGAGTGGAGTCGAAAAGACCGGTGAATGTGTGAGCCCCTGTCCAAAATTAATCAGCAGAGTTCCCAGGCGTCTCCAAATCAAAAGCGTTTAAGGTTGGATAGGTCTGAAGCACAATCGGAAAATATATTGTTGGGAGTTCCCCAGATGTGGCATATATTTTTCTTTGGGGTGTTCGAAGCATCAGTTTCCTTTTTCTGCTGGGGTATTTCAACGTGGAAACACAGAGCCCTGTGGAATCCCTTTGCCAGATAGTGCTTCTCCTTGTGTGGTGTCCCCCCACTGCGGATTGCTGGGAAGGATTGAGATCCCTTTTGCCTGTTTTACAGCGAGCTCACTCAGTCGAAGGTAAAATGAGCTTGTGAAAGGGGTTCTTTACTGGGGAATCTCGCAAGCATATCCGGGTTTGGAACCAGTTAAAAGGTGATTGGGAGGATACCCTTGTCACGCAGGTGGTTGGATGTATCCCTTGAGCCGTGCAAGTCTTCAATGAAGTCCACGCTTGGATCTTGAAAGGGACATCACAGCCATGGGTTTGGGATTTAAGTTTTAATAATATGTTAACAGATCTTATTTTTCCTGGTGGTTGACCCCGCCAGCTGGTTTTTGCGTTTTGCGGATCTTGCCAAGGTTCGACTCACTTTGACCCACATGTTCGCCTCAGGCCCTGTTCAACTTCGAGCGCATTGAGGCATTGCTGAAGGCTAAGACGGCCTGAGGCTAAGCCAAAAGGACAGCCAGGGGGGAACAAGGCAACCATTTGCGAAAGATGCGTCTTTCATTCTTCCTTTCTTTCTTTTGTTGCTTGTTTGGTTGTTAGCTTGTTGGTTTGGTTGTTTGATTGGTTGTTTGTTTGCTTGCTTTCTTTGCTTTGTTTGCTTGCTTGCTTGCTTGCTTGCTTGCTCGCTTACTCGCTTGCTCGCTTGCTCGCTTGCTTGCCTGCTTGCCTGCTGGCCTGCTTGTCTGTTCGTATGTCTGTTTGCCTTTTTGCCTGCATGTTTGTCTGTTTGTCTAGGAAACTGTTTGGATGCGGTTTTTGTGGATCTTCGCCTGTGGAATATTAAAAGAGTGCTAAAAGAGTGCTAAAAAAGGACGAACAGGGGGAAGAACAGGTAAAATCCACAAAATGCGCATCCAAACCGTTTTCTAGAGTTTGTCTGTCTGCCTGCCTGCCTGCCTGTCTGGCCGTCTGGCTGGCTGTCTGTCTGTTTGTTCTCTGTTTGTTTTAAGGGAAGCTGTCACGACTGGATTTGCTCGTTGTTTGAAGGAATGTCTGATGATGTAAGCAGATGTGGGTCTCCTTTGAAGGGCACTCCATTTTGCTCAGGCATGTTGATCAGATTCTGTCTGGCAGAGCCCTCCAGCCCGAGCCGTCAGTCAGACCCTCAAGCCACGCCCCAGCCCGAGGCCGCCATCTGGCCTCGCCAAGCATAACCTTCTATCAGCCCCCACCAGCCACGTTGTTGGCCGGCCCCCGCCTCGAGTTCAGGGATCACTTTGCGCCGCCCAGACTAGCCCCAGCATCATTTGCTCTAGCCCGCATTGCTCTTATGGTTCTTTTGAGCCTGGCCGACACAGGGCACGAATTTAGCCCGCTTCAGCTCCTTAACGAGGCTTGGATGTGAGTGAAACTTCTTGAAGCAACTGGGAGAAAATCCAAGCCCAAGACATACCTTCCGAAGCTTTCTTGACAAAAGCGCCTGACACAAATGGAAATGAACAAAGCACCTTAAGCAGGGAGACAAGCAAATGACCATGACCAAGCCTCGTTTTTGCTGTTTTTGTCACCCTCAGATTTCTTTCTTTTAGCCCCTCACTTTGTGTTTTTCGCTCTCCACCTTGTGTTGTTTACTCCCGGCTTTGTTGCTAACCGCGACCCCCCGCCTTGTTTATCACCATCGGCCCTTGCCAACCGAAAGCTCATCTTAAACCCGACCTAAAACAACCCAGAACAAGCCGAAACCCATAAACCCACTCCAACCCCACCCAGCGGCGCATTCCAAATGTGAACCCAACCCTAAAGCCAGCCAAAGCCAACCAGGCCCAAACCAACCTTAAACCCACCCTAAGCCAACCCTAAAGCCAGTTTTAAACCAACGCTAAGCCAAGCTTATCCAACCTTAGCCCCACCACAAACCTACCCCCAGCCAACTCTAAATCCACAAATGAAACCGCCCTAACCCACCAAAGCCAACCCTAACCCAGCCCAAGCCAACCCTGCCTCAGCGCAGTTGCTGACCACAAGGCGGAGCGTTAAAGGAAAATGCAAAGGGAGCCAGAAAGTTGTTAAATGACAAAGGTGGAGGGTTGAAAAAAAGGGGAGCCAGGAAAAGGCCTGAAGGGTTGAAAGAAAGGTTGCTTCATAAGTCAGCAGTTTCTCGAAGCTGACCAGGCATGTGAAGGTTGGAAGTCGGCGAGTCGGCCTTGGGTTGGGGAAGGCACCTATGCTTTTTTTTCACAAATAGCTCAGGTTGCCGAGGCAATTTTTTATTCCCGATTCCCCGTGAATATGGACTACCAGCGCACCAGCGCAGGAAAACAAAAGCAATTTGGGGGTGGCGACAAACTGCAACGAGCTCAGCTGTGCAGCGAGCTGGAAGAGGTCCTCTCATTGGCAATGCAAGCTTGCGCTGTGCTTTTTTGGTCAGAGCCCGTTTGGCGCTAAAAGCGGCCTAGTTTTGAGGGTCCTCCCATTTCGAGACGGTTTGCAGGGTTTCGCGATACTTTATCTAAGTCCACTTGGGACCATGTCGGTTATAGTATTTTGCGAAGGTCAAACAACAGACGACCCCCATTCTTGAGGACACAAAACAAGAGAGTGATCGCAGGATCCCTCGGGCGCCCCGGGGCCCCGACCGCCGGGCAACGATTGCGCGCCGATTCCGAGCGATCGGAGAAAAACGGTTGGTTCCACGCGCAGCCCAACGGTGCCTTTTGTATGCCTACAAGGGTCTGGCAGTCTTGCCATAATTTTGACCGGAAATAAAAGGCTGACCATTCGGAACCGTGGCAAACCGTAAGGGTTAAAAGGTTATCTGCTTGGCGCAGGGTTCGGCCCCGGCGTTAGATAACATTTTACATGCCCCAACTATGGGTTCCACCACTTCATGTTACATGCTCCAACTAGAGATTCTAACAACAGGAGCACTTTATTAGCACTTCCTAAGGCAGAATTCTGAGGTGGGACAATCTGTAAACCACCGGGGCAATCAAACAGTCAGTGAATCAAAAAGTCCCCTAAAAGCGATTGACATCGAAAGTCCCCGAACGTGACATCGAGCAGACACCCTTTTGGTAGTTGATTTCACACAAAAACTTCAAGGGAGTTGAAAGGGGGTCCGGCTCAATCTGAAAGCCGGCTCGACAGAGGGGGGGGCAAACTCCTTTGAGTACGGCCATGCGAATGGATGTTTTTACCAATTGCGCGTGGTTTGCGCGGGACATATTGGGGCAACATCTAGTGTTGGCGCTGTGCCAGGACAGTGCATCAAATGCGATCAATTGCTACCTCTTCGAGCCAATGCACCATAGTTGTGGAGCATTGTCGTGTTTTCGTTGCAAGCTTCTGTGATACTTGTGATCCCTTGCAATAGTGACAAGGTAGGCAGGGGGAAGGCTCATGTTGGATCGCAAAGAGAGCGTTTTCTGCCATTCTGCAGTGGACAGTCGCACACTTGCGGTCGGTCATAGTTTCAGAACTATGGGTCGTGGTTTCCCCTTGGCTTCGTTTCAACGACCGACAAGGGATCCTGCTTAAGGCCATGGGGTACTTGGCTGGGGCCGACCTGGGACTAAAACGAGCTCTCCCAAGGTCCCTGCACTTACCTATCCCTTCTCCTTCCCAGCAGCTTGTGTTGATTTCCCAGAGACTCCCGTCGGATCCGGTCGCATCCGATGCTCAGATTGGAACCGGGGGGGGTCGCCCTGTTGAACTTGAGATAAAGGTATAACTTGGGACCTCTTTTGACAGTTGGGCGGCCGTTGGCGCACTTCGGCATTTTCGTTTAGACCTTTGCTTCGCTGACCCACGTCACCTCTGCTTCGCTACCCTCATCTTGAGCCCTGGCCTTCTGTGCCCGAAGCGTTTCTCCCGATGTCTGCAACGGGAAAATGCCCCACAACCAAAAGCAACTACACACGAACAGCACGAATCCTCCCCCAGGCTGGACTGGGTGAGTGTCTTTTTGTCCAGAGATCAGCGGCTCTGATTGCAGAGGCAGCGGAGTTGGCCACAGCAAGATGCCAAGGATCGCTGAAGTGCGTGCAAAGAGGAAGGGCAGCACGTGCAAGATTCCTGCGGATTTCTTACTTCTTGCAGGATCTCGGGCACACGATGAACGTGCTGACTGACATGACGGAGAGAGTTAAGTGTATATGTAGAGCACAATGTGGACACGCGAAACACAAAGAAGATGCTTGAATATGCATGTTGTTGTGAACATTTGGCGAGTTTGTCACGTGTTTGGTTACAGCAACTTGAGAGGCCAAGATTCTGGATTGCATGCAGAGTCAGCGGATTTGGCCACAGCAAGATGCCAACGATCGCTTAAGTGCGTGCGAAGAGGAAGGGCAGCACGTGCAAGATTCCTGCGGGTTTCTTACTTCTTGCAGGATCTCGGGCACACGATGAACGTGCTGACTGACATGACGGTGAGAGTTAAGTGTGTATGTGTAGAGCACAATGTGGACACGGGAAGCACAAACAACATGCTGCTTGAATATGCATGTCGGTGTGAACATTTGGCGAGTTTGTCACGTGTTTGGTTACAGCAACTTGAGAGGCCAAGATTCTGGATTGCATGCAGAGTCAGCGGATTTGGCCACATCAAGATGCCAACGATCGCTTAAGTGCGTGCAAAGAGGAAGGGCAGCACGTGCAAGATTCCTGCGGGTTTCTTACTTCTTGCAGGATCTCGGGCACACGATGAACGTGCTGACTGACATGACGGAGAGAGTTAAGTGTATATGTAGAGCACAATGTGGACACGCGAAACACAAAGAAGATGCTTGAATATGCATGTTGTTGTGAACATTTGGCGAGTGTTTTACGTGTTTGGTTTCAGCAAGCTTGAGAGGCCAAGATTCTGGATTGCATGCAGAGTCAGCGGATTTGGCCACAGCAAGATGCCAACGATCGCTTAAGTGCGCGCGAAGAGGAAGGGCAGCACGTGCAAGATTCCTGCGGGTTTCTTACTTCTTGCAGGATGTCTGGCACACGCTGAACGTCCTGACTGACATGACGGAGAGAGTTAAGTGTATATGTAGAGCACAATGTGGACACGCGAAACACAAAGAATATGCTTGAATATGCATGTTGTTGTGAACATTTGGCGAGTTTGTTACGTGTTTGGTTTCCGCAAGCTTGAGAGGCCAAGATTCTGGATTGCATGCAGAGTCAGCGGATTTGGCCACAGCAAGATGCCAACGATCGCTTAAGTGCATGCAAAGAGGAAGGGCAGCACGTGCAAGATTCCTGCGGGTTTCTTACTTCTTGCAGGATCTCGGGCACACGATGAACATGCTGGCTGACATGACGGAGAGTGTTAAGTGTATATGTAGAGCACAATGTGGACACGCGAAACACAAAGATGCTGCTTGAATATGCATGTTGTTGTGAACATTTGGCGAGTTTGTTACGTGTTTGGTTTCAGCAAGCTTGCGAGGCCAAGATTCTGGATTGCATGCAGAGTCAGCGGATTTGGCCACAGCAAGATGCCAACGATCGCTTAAGTGCGTGCGAAGAGGAAGGGCAGCACGTGCAAGATTCCTGCGGGTTTCTTACTTCTTGCAGGATTTCTGACACACGATGACCGTGCGGACTGACATGACGGTGAGAGTTAAGTGTATAGTGGATTAAAATGTGGACACGGGAAACACAGACAACATGCTGCTTGAATATGCATGTCGTTGTGAACATTTCGCGAGCCCGTCCGTGTTTGGTTTCAGCAAGCTTAAGAAGCCAAAATTCTAGATTGCATGCAGAGTCAGCGGAGTTGGCCACATCAAGATGCCAACGATCGCTTAAGTGCGTGCAAAGAGGAAGGGCAGCACGTGCAAGATTCCTGCGGGTTTCTTACTTCTTGCAGGATCTCTGGCACACGATGACCATGCAAGCTGACAAGATGGTGAGAGTTAAGTGTATATGTAGAGCAAATGTAGGCACTCGAAACACAAAGAAGATGCTTGAATATGCATGTCGGTGTGAACATTTGGCGAGCTCGTCTGTGTTTGGTTTCAGCAAGCTTGAGAGGCCAAGATTCTGGATTGCATGCAGAGTCAGCGGATTTGGCCACAGCACAATGCCAACGATCGCTTAAGTGCGTGCAAAGAGGAAGGGCAGCACGTGCAAGATTCCTGCGGGTTTCTTACTTCTTGCAGGATCTCTGGCACACGATGAACGTGCTGACTGACATGACGGAGAGAGTTAAGTGTATATGTAGAGCACAATGTGGACACGCGAAACACAAAGAAGATGCTTGAATATGCATGTTGTTGTGAACATTTGGCGAGTTTGTTACGTGTTTGGTTTCCGCAAGCTTGAGAGGCCAAGATTCTGGATTGCATGCAGAGTCAGCGGATTTGGCCACAGCAAGATGCCAATGATCGCTTAAGTGCGTGCAAAGAGGAAGGGCAGCACGTGCAAGATTCCTGCGGGTTTCTTACTTCTTGCAGGATCTCGGGCACACGATGAACGTCCTGACTGACATGACGGAGAGAGTTAAGTGTATATGTAGAGCACAATGTGGACACGCGAAACACAAAGAAGATGCTTGAATATGCATGTTGTTGTGAACATTTGGCGAGTTTGTTACGTGTTTGGTTTCAGCAAGCTTGAGAGGCCAAGATTCTGGATTGCATGCAGAGTCAGCGGATTTGGCCACAGCAAGATGCCAATGATCGCTTAAGTGCGTGCAAAGAGGAAGGGCAGCACGTGCAAGATTCCTGTAGGTTTCTTACTTCTCGCAGGATTTCTGACACACGATGAAAGTGCTGACTGACATGACGGTGTGAGTTAAGTGTATATGTGTAGCAAAATGTGGACACAGAAAACACAACGAAAGTGCTGCTTGAATATGCATGTTGTTGTGACAGCAAGCTCAAGCGGCCAAGATTGTGCATTGCATGCAGAGTCAGCGGATTTGGCCGCAGCAAGATGCCAACGATCGCTTAAGTGCGTGCAAAGAGGAAGGGCAGCACGTGCAAGATTCCTGCGGGTTTCTTGCTTTTGCAGGATCTCTGGCACACGATGAAGGTGCTGACTGACATGACGGAGATAGTTAAGTGTATCTGTATATGTAGAGCACAATGTGGACACGCGAAGCACAAAGAAGATGCTTGAATATGCATGTTGTTGTGAACATTTGGCGAGTTTGTTACGTGTTTGGTTTCCGCAAGCTTGAGAGGCCAAGATTCTGGATTGCATGCAGAGTCAGCGGATTTGGCCACAGCACAATGCCAACGATCGCTTAAGTGCGTGCAAAGAGGAAGGGCAGCACGTGCAAGATTCCTGCGGCTTTCTTGCTTCTTGCAGGATCTCTGGCACACGATCACGGTGCTGGCTGACATGACAGCGAGAGTTAGGGGTATATGTAGAGCAAGGTGCTGACACGTGAAACACAAACAAGCAGATTTTCGACAGTGCATGTCGTTGTGAACATGTAGTCAGCTCGATTGCAAGCTTGAGTGGCCAAGATGTGGATTGCATGCAGAGTCAGCGGATTTGGCCACAGCAAGATGCCAACGATCGCTTAAGTGCGTGCAAAGAGGAAGGGCAGCACGTGCAAGATTCCTGCGGGTTTCTTACTTCTTGCAGGATCTCTGGCGCACGATGATCGTGCTGACTGACATGACAGCGAGAGTTAGGTGTATACGTGGATTTATATGGATCAACATGCA